TAGCAGCGAGTGTGCTAGGATTTCCCTTTGTCTCTAAATGCACTCGTGTCTCTGGCGACTGCGTGCATCTAGTCCTGCCACGGCCCCGACATCTGAGCAGCCGCCCTGCCTTCCTGACTGTCTGACCTGGCTTCCAGAGGAGGAAGCTCTTTTCACAGATCACGAGTGACTGCTGCTACTTTTTACAAGTCAGTCTGATTTCTTGGTCCTTGGCCCCTTTCCCCTTCCGTCTTCTTGAAGAAGAACTTATAATGGTTGATGTTTATAGCAGAAGAAAACTATGCACTGTCGAGGAAGGGCTGGCATCTGCAGGAAGTCTCATTTCCTTCAGAGGAAGGCCTTGCTCATTGTGCGCTGCATCTTTGGATGCCCCTCCATCCTTTCCAGCTGACTTGCACGTGGCCTCATTCGTTGTCGCTTCCATTCCTTTGTCTTTTCTCCTTCCAGTGGCACCAGCTCCGGTTCTGTTGTTGCTGTGTGACTCATTTTGGGATTTTGTGACTAAGCCTGCTTACTGCTGTCTGCCTTTCAGCTTGGAGCTGTTTCTCCCATTTGCTATCTGCCGCCTCCCCCTTTCTCTTACTCCTGCCCTGGGCTGCCGTCTTACTATATAGAAAGTGAATAGAAATACACAGAAACAATTATTGGTTATTAGTTTTAAGCAGGAGGGGATGATATACAGTGGTACCGAATGGAGATGCATTTCTACATAAGGCAGTTGTTTTAATCTGCAGGCAAAAGATGAAGCCACAACCAGTAAACAGGCACAAAAAAATATTCTCCAGCCTGGTGAATATAAAAGGCTTGTTTGTTCAGTTACTTGTTTCTTAGAGGCCATAAGCTACTCCACTTTTTAAAATTTAGTTTTTCTTGAGCAGGAATTGAAGTTAGTTTCAGATTTTCTCTCTCCTTTGAAAGGAAGAGAACAATGCAAACAATACTTAGGGAAGTTGTGCGTTTATCGAGCACCTACTGTTCCTGTCTTTTCCTTCCTCTTGGGCAGCTTCTCTGTCCGTGGATGAGTATGCATCATGCAGAGTACAGAACTGCTGCCCTTCTGCAGTAGGCTCTCATGTCCCAATACCAACAGAAGGGACAGAAAAGTCTTGCAGAGAAAGAGAGCTTTTATGCGTCTCCTACTGGCCCCGAGGCACTGTTCAGAATGGACATCTACCTGCCCCTGCCCCTACAAGCTCCTTTATTTGGTTTCCAGCCAGATGTTCTAGTTATGGGCTTACTGGAGGTGAACCCACAGGAGAGGGAGAGGAAGGTAGGCAAGCTTAATAAAGAAAGCAGACATGGAATTTAAGAGGTGTTGGGAGTAGAGGGCAAATGAAAGCTACCTATGGCAGCAGCAAACAACCCCAGGATCTTTAGGAGACCCTGGGGTCCAGCAGGCAGCTGAGTCTAGAAATCGATGTTTTGGTACTAAAAACATACAGTATTGGTTAAGGGGACTTGTACAGGTAGGAAAATGATAGACAAAAATCAGTGAATAGAGTATCACTCAATTCAAGTGTGCAGCTTTATCTGGTGGCACAAAGGTAGACATTGTCCAAGAGGGCTCAGAGGTGATGTCTGAGGCACAGGGAGAGCTTTGCCTCTTCCCTTAGGAGGTGGCTTGGTGTGTGCTCCCTTTAACATCTTTCAGCTGTAAATACAGTATACCTCACAATGACAGTGAGATTGAGGAAAGCAGCACTGGGCACTGAGTAATGATCCAAGAGTCTTTCTTGTGGGTCAAGGATATGAAGATGATAGAAACAGTTGTGTTGAGCAGAATACTTTTGTTGGTGTTTGTTCTCTTTCCGGTATACAACTAAATTCTGAGATAAATATGTTTGCAGGATAGTTGAGTTATGGAATATCACATTTCAGAAAAAGGGAATATGAGAGTATTGCTATTTGGAGGAAATGTGTGGTCCCCCAGGCCCTGCACCTGCCTGACTCAGACAGGAAGTAGTGAACTTCATTAAGAGACATGCCTGGCAGGGAGATGGCTTGACTTCATGCTTCTCCGAGTATGGGCAGAACCTACAGTGGAAATGGATCTTCACTGGTCAGAGACCTTTTGAAATTTAGGGCGTGAATCAATAACTTAAAGTCCAACCTGCACACATTGTTTATGGCAGCACAAGACTGGGCTCCCGTGTCCTACAGAGGCTGCCTACAGATAGCTCGTGGCCACAGACTCTACATTTCAGTGGTCACAAGAGATCAGTGAGTTGTCTGAAAAGTTCTTCTTTGCCAGCATATTTTTCTCTTCTCCTGTAGCTGTAAACTAACTGTATTCTACTTTCTGGAGTTTTGGGTTTTTTTTAACTCTTTCAAGTCACAAGTGCAACATCTGACTCACACTCAATCACTCACATCATAATTTACATCAAGCCAGGTACAATGTATTAGTCAGCTTTCTGTTGCTGTAACAAATACCTGAGATGATAGACTTCTCAAAAGAAAAGGTGTGTTTTGGCTCACTGTTTTAGAAAAGTCAGTCCATGCTGCATTGCTTACATGCCTCTAGTGGAGGAAGCGGGGAGCCAGCACCTGCCAGCAGAAGCACATGAATAGCAAAACCATAGACTGCATGGCTAGGATACAAGAGGAGAATGAGGGGCTGGAGCCTGACTCTTCCTTTCAAGGGTTTGTCCGAAATGTTAAGAAAGCCTTACTCTCGACCCAGCTCTTATAGTTTCTACCACCTCCCAACAGCACTGAGCTGGAGACTAGGCCTTTGATAGATGGGCCCTTGGGGTTAGATATTTATGATCCACACCATAGTACATAGTGGGATGGATGGACAAACAATGGGTGAAAAGATTGATAGTTCATAGATGTCTGAAAATATTGATTAATCTCTATGAATCCACACATAAATACATTAGGTTAACCTATCACAAGGATAGATCCCTATTATATGACAGACTATGGCTACAATCATTAATAAGTAATTTAGTTTTAAAAAATAAGTAATATAGAAGGGAATATGTGTTTTTGAGTTTTTTCTGCCTTCAATGTTTTCCGCTTAAACAGAACTGATGATATTTGAGATAAATTTTAGAAAAATTCTTCTCTATTATTTATAAAATGCGACCTTATGATAGCCTGACAAATCCTTTCTGCAAATGGCAAGGGCCAAAATAAAATTGTCATTTTAGCACTTTGAGTATATCAAATGCTGACTTAGTAGGAGACTTACCTATATTTTATTTGCTTAGAAGAACATGGAAAACTGAGTTAGTTCCTTAGTGAGTCAGGAAATGAAGAGGTGTCAAGTTGAAGACTTTCTTGGGCTGGATCCTGTCAAAGTGGCAGGGAGCTGTACCCTAAGTTCTACATCGTTTTTATCACAAGTGCACACCCCGGTGTCCCCCACATTCAGCTCTTCTCATTGGCTGGCACACTAGAGACTCAGGCAGAGAGGGCTTGGAACAGACTGTAGACACTGACAGACTATTGGGAGGTGAGTTGTATCATCGGAGGAGGTAGTTATGGGCCACCTACTTTTGGATAGAAAACCTTCGCAAAAGTACAGTGAGAATCTTCAGGCTAATCCAGCGGATCTCAGCATTTTTTTTTTTAATTTTGGCCCAATGCACAGGAAGGTCAGGGCACATTCTTGCCACCAGCAATTGCTCCCACACTCCCCATAAGGGTGCTAGCATGGACAGGGGAGAAACTAGTGAGGGGAGTATACTAGATGGATTTATATAGTATACTAGATGGAATATACTAGATGGATTTATTATTAATTATTTATTTTTTGGGCTGGCTCAGGATGCCTTAAGGGCAGGTCTGGTAAGGCAGGAGGATCTGGGGATCGAACCACAGTATCCTGAGCCTGACTGCTTTGCTTAAACAGGCACCTAAACAACTGAGCTAATGGGCAGCCCCCCGAGTATAATAGAAAGAAAAGCTTGAAACATCAACACATATAATAGGCAGTGTAGAGAAAGCCTCTCTTCCACTCTTCCTGGTCCTTCCTTGGCCTCTCCCAGTGCAGACTGGCTTTCCATCTCTGCGACCTTCCAGAGATATTCTGTGTACGCATTCATTTGCTGGAGAGGCCAACCCAATATACCATCTCACATTTTATTTTATTCATTTAACAATATACCTTAGACCATACTGCACATCTACACAAGAACATCCTCATGTTTTAACTCCTACAAAGCATGGATGTGCTCGGTTTATTTAACTAGTCCGCTGTTGATGACTAAGGGTGTTTCTAGGCATTGACTGTTACAATGTGGAAACAAGCAATGTGTCGCACCTATCTGTAGAGCAATCCATTACCTCATTAGAGCAACACGCAGTGACCTGGTAAGCTGCTTCCTGTCTCTGTCTTTGCCATAGTATATCATTTAGCATCACTATTTCTGCAATAATGAGAACTAACATTTCCAAAGTGTTTATTGTGTATCAGATACTGAGCTAAATACTCGACATGCCTTATTATTTTACTATGTTATTCAGTTTTAATATCTGATATTTATGTAATATATATTACCTAATTATAAGATATAATTTTAGAAAGGACGGTATATCTATATAGTACATAAGGGTAGATGATATAGTTAATGACTTATATTTAATAATTATTCATTATATTACTATATCACCAAGATTTTTATAGAAGAGGCTGGCTAGCTTAGAGTGGTGGGGGTGGGATTTGAGTCCTGGAACTTGGGCCTGAGTCAGGGTGCTAAGTCATCCAGTCTGCGGGTCACTGTGGGGATTCTCGGGGGCCTGCTGAGCATATGAGAGCAGTATAAGCACATGGAGCTCTTAACCAGACTTCAGGACAGTCTCGCAGGCACTTCAGGAAATCATGTGGTAAATTTTGGGGGACCTGAGGGCATATCGATGCTGCAGGTCGCCAGAGGCACTGCTGTAACCCTGCCAGCTTGCCTCCAGGACAGCAGTGTGGGCAATAGATTTTTGTACATTAGAGATGGGCTTGTTAGATACTTTGAGTACAACTTTCATTTTATCTTTAGTAGAAACAAAAGTATTTTCTGGAAGCAGCAAGAAGCATCAAGGAGAAGCACACGTGACTCTGTCCACTCCTCCAGTGGAGCAGAAGCACATTAAACGATTCCTTTCCGATGGGGACAGTTCCCCACACGATGGCTGTCCGTCTAGTGACCTTGCTAAGCCCACAGAGAGCCGACCTCCAAACTTCCTGAGACCCAGAGTCCCTTTGCCTGGGTTCTTTTGCCCTTTACAAGATCCATGTCCCGCTTCACAAGAAGACAGTGGTGCTCAGATAGAAAGAGAGCTCCCCAAAGGTAAGGAGTGAGGGTGGCAGGCAAGAGGATTCCATCTTCATCTCTTATGGGAAAGGGAGCAATGTCTTTCTGGGTACACAAGCCTCACCTTACTGAGGGATTAGAGGAGAGAGGGAACAGAAATAGCTCATGTAATGGGACCTGTGGACCTCACAAGCAGCCAGACAGAAGGTAGTCCCTGTGGGTCAGAGGTACCAGTCCTACTGGACATAAATAAGGCTGGTACCAGCAAGGTGAGAGGCCACCCTGGGGCACAGCAGGATCCAGCCTTAGCTCTAGAGAGCCTGAGAAGGTGGTATGGCTGCTCTGAAGCAGCCTAGCGGGGACAGTGGCTGAGGGGTGTAACACCACATGTTGCTGACACTTGGCATGAGCATACTAGACCCCACAGTGCCCACGAGGCAGGCCCCATCTCCTCTGTCACAGAGAAGGGAACCAAGAAGAACACAGGCATAATTCCTCATGGGGTCATTCTGCTGGCCATTCCTGGGAAGTGCAGTCGGTGGTGATGTATAAGAAAAGGCAAACATGATGTGGGCTATGGTCCCCAGTATGCCAGTGGATAGTTTAGATTTTCTGTCATTCTAAGGACTTGCTCAAAGTGTTTTGGAGAAGTACAGAAAGAAAGATACAAAGTTATGTAGCTTTGCATTATAAAAGATAAAATGGTTATGGTAACTCATAAAAGTGTCTCTTTGGAGCTCATTAATCCCTAGCTCCTCATTCATTAATCCATTACAGAAGCAGTTATTAAACATCTGCTTTGTACCACATATTGCGATCAGGGTGTCCCCCCATCCGGTCCAGGACAGAGTGAACAGCACTATTCTGTCCGTGAGCCTCTAGAAAGCCGAGGGCAGCCTGGTCATGTGAGAGGACCTGGCGGAAGTGTCTTCGCCCTAAAAAAGATTCAGAACATCAATGTGAGATGCAATTAGAGGTTCGAACATGAGGCCAGTGGCAAAGATCATTGCACAAAGTGAGGGGACAGAAAGCATATTTGGGGAACTGCAGAGGAACCAGGGGCCCAAGCGCAAGGGTGGTATCTAGTGTGCAGATAGAAAGAGAGCCCAACTACAGTCTTCTCACCAATCCCTCCAGCTCTGATTTGGCTCAAAGTGTTCCTGTTCTCTTCTGCATTCCTGCCCCATGAGCCCCTTTAGTTCTGTGGCCCGGTGACCTCCCATCTCCAGGTTGGGTCCCAGCCTTCAGGGCACTGTCTTCCTTCCCCAAGAAAGGATCTTGTCCCTGATTCTGTAGCCATGTTTTCAAGTTGAAAGACCCTCCTAAAACCATGCTGGGGCCCAACTGAAGGCAGTGAGCTTTTCTCTGAAGGATGCTGTCTCATAAGCAACAATATGTAGACAGATGAGAGAGGTCTCAGGCCAAGCAAGAGAGAGAATGGATGGTCACTGGTAGGAGCCCGCAGATGTTTTGGATTCAGTGAGGAGATCCTTATTATGGAAGTGGAGAAGATGGGGTTATGGGAGAATTAGGGCTGCCTTTGGGTTACTGGGTCTGGTAATGGGGAGGTGGTGGACAGGGATTAAAAGAAAGTGTGTATTCTCTGTGAGCTAGAAGAAATGTTCTCAAGAAAACTGGAACAATCTGATGGAAGAGAAAATTGATTTGTTAAGGATGGGTTTCGGAGGTGAATGGGCAGGTATGGGCTAATCTGGGCTGATAGATGTTGACTAACCTTGGTTAGCCATTATACCTGCAGAGGAGAGGGATCAACAGGGAACTCCTCCAGAAGGAACAAGGGCAGATGCTTGGAAACATGAAAGAGAGTGAAATGAGACTGCCAAGTACTGTGGTCTTGGTAGAAAATGACAGTGACAGGTGGCAGGAGAACATTTACCACAAGGAAACCACACACAGTCTGGTCATCTTGGGCTTGTGAGAACTAGGGAACGCTGATGAATACCGATAGGACAGCTGGTCTAGCCAGTGAGAATCTAGACACAAACCACAACAGCGACCGAAAATTCAGATGAGCTGCATCCTGTAGTCAGATAGATGAGCCTTCTGGTGGCCACTTCAGCTTTCCCCCAAAGAACCAGATGTTTGAGGTGCCTGGCTTAGCACTATGGAGCATAATGTGGCCCAGCCCTTGAAAGTGAGACAGGCTCATGGGATTAAAACATTATCTTATGGCCCCACTCATGACCCATGCTGTTGGGTGGGTGAGGAGTGTTTCTCTTCAGAAGAATAACAGAATCAGAGATAAGACCCTTTCTTGGGGGAAGGAAGACAGTGCCCTGAAGGCTGGGACTCAGCCTGGAGATGGGAGGTCACTGGGCCACAGAACTAAAGGGGCTTATGGGGCAGGAATGCAGAAGAGGTCAGGAACACTTTGTGCCGAATCAGAGCTGGGGGGATTGGTGAGAAGACTAGCTGGGCTTGGGAAAATGAATTCGGGAGAACGAGGGGGCTCAGATGGGAAGGGTCAGCTAAGAAGGGACCGAAGGATCCATTCGTACTTTCCAGGCTGAGGCACTGGTCAGGAAGTGGCCAGTGATGTCTTACTGATCTTTCTCCCACCCTAAGTGCCGAGGAAGTCATTTCCTGACCTTTTCTAGAAAGGAAAGTCAAAGTGGCCGCAGGGAGAGGCCAAAACCCGCTCAGAGGGAGAAATCATCTCAATTACTTATGTAAAGCCAGTGGTAGACTCAGGCAAATTAGGGGGAGAGATAAATAATTGAATGTCATCCCCCATCCTTATATCATTAGTGTAGCAAACATGAGACACATTAATATGCTGTCCCGAAACAACCGAACTGTAATAATCGTACAGGACACACTTAATAAGAAACAGAGAATAGAGTTCCTGTTCATTTTCAGCAAAGGCATTCTAAGCCTCAGAAGCCAAGGAAATACCTCCGTGGCATAATTAGCCAGTCGTGAAGCGTGGCTGGCTGGGAGTGTTCCTCCCTGTGACCAGGGCAGCCATGATGAGACATGATCTTTGTCAGCTTAACGAGGCCCATTAATAACCCACTGGCGTTTCTATTTTCAAAATTGTCCTCTGTGCCTAATGGTGTTGAGGAGCCAGGCGAGAATCACTCAGTGCCCTCTAAATGAAATTCTAAATCTTCTCTCCTAGGAGATTATGCTTGCTGTGACTTGGTTGTGAAAATAAAAGAGTGTAAGAGGAGCGAAGACTCCACCACGCCCGGGGGTTCACCAGCGCCCCCCTCACCAGCACCTCTCAAGGGACCAGAAGCAGCTGGCTTGTCAGAGGACAGTCCTGATCCTCAGGAAACACCTGCAAACCCCTTGACCTTGCAGGTAAGGCCTGCTGAGCACTCCAACTTGATTCCCACCAAAAGGAGGCCATTTCTGGAGTACAGCAAAGAGAGGTACAGCCTCCTTTCTGCCTCTGAGAATGGAAACTGGATTGCTCTTTCTAGTGGCTGTGTGACCCTGGCAGGTTACCTAACCATTCTGAGCTTGTTTTGCCATTTAAGTACTGAAGATGATGACACTGACTCTACTAGGTGAGGAAGAAAATTGAATACTATAAACAGTGACCATGATCATAGTGTTGGCAGGGGCTCAGAGGCCTCACACGTCACTGGATAGGCATCGCCACTTTTGGTCCTCTAAGGGCCCCTTCTAGGAAGGAGTCCCTGTAAGTTGTCTTCAATTAATTAATTAATTTTGTACAGGGTCTCACTACACAGCTCATAGTGATCCTCCTGCTTTCAGCCCCCAGCATTGGGATTACAGGTGTGTGCCACCACACCTGATTTCCGTGGCCAGCATGGTGGCACGGCATGCAGTACTGGGGAGTAAAACAGGGTTCTTGTGCTTGCCTGGCAGGAGCTTAGACCACCCAGCTATCTCCCTAGCCCCATAGGTGGTCTTCAGATCAAGACACCGAACCTTTGAAAGACTGAGAGTGGACATCGTATGGCCATGAGTTGAAGGAAATGGAAGGTTTTTGTTTGGTACCTTTCATGGTTATAGGAGTAATATGGACACTTTTTTTAAGTTATAAAAATTAGGGAGACAAAGAGCCTCAGCGAAGCCCCACTACGGTACCCTGCACAGCCACCTTAGGGGAAGGCACTGGATATATCATGAGTCTCCCTGGGACTGTGAGGGTGGCTTCCTGGTCAACTACTGCATCCTTGCAAGCCCAGTGAGCCCCCTGAAGTGCTCATGGAGCCCCTAAGCATGCAAGCCTCCAGACATGTCCTCGGAGTGATGCGGCAGTCACACATGGATAAGCAGGGCATTCTCGGAAGCTGTCTTCCAGGCCTGGGCTTCCCATGCAGCTTTAGCATCCATGGTGCTAGGTGGCTGTGGTGCCAGGAAGCTAGTGCTTAGCACTGGTAAGAAGACTCTTTCCTTGACATAGCTACCAGAGGCAGAAACATGACACAGACGAAACCCACAAGGCCCACTTTGGGTAACTCGGAGCTCCAGTGGACTTGGAGAGGAAGGAGAGGAGCATTTCCACTGTGGCAGCATACCTAGGGAGCCTTGGCTAAGCACCTGCTGTATGCAGGGCTGTGTGCAGAGCTCAGGGCAGTGTCCATGATCATGAGATACAATGTCAGGACATCCTCTCCTCACACTTGCGAGGAGCTTACAGCCCAATATGGAGACAGACGTGTGTGAATCACTCTTGCATGAAGTGATCTGTAAGTCCCATGATGATAGGACTGAACAGGGAGATTCATCGGGGCTTCCTGGGATGGATTGGCTTGGACCAGGAGAAGCTATAGATGGTCTTCCAGGAAGGGGAAAACCTTGAACATGGACCATCAGAGAATAGGAAGTTAGTATAATGACAGGCAGAGAATGAAGTATGACAGTTACAGCTGTGGGTCACTGTGGGATCTCCTGAGGTATGGTGAGCCTCCACGTTTACATCTGTCTCATGGGAATAAACACACCTACCTTTCTGAATCCATAGGACTATCCCAGGACACAGTGTATCCTCATGGAGTGCCTTGTTCAGTGTCTGGAATGGCAGCAGATAGTCTTTCCCAGCTGACCTGGGACTTGGTGCATGGAGGTGGCAGGATGAGGCAGATGTGGAATTGAGGGATTTCTGATCCATTCTATGGAGCTCACAGAACTAGTCTGTGTAGGCAGGTCTTTCCTCCTCACTCTGTCCACCCAGGAGGAACAGTGGTTTCCTAAAGCTACAGTTATAGTTTTTCCTGGAAGGGCCCATTTTTCACGCCTGGGAAGAGGACACTTCTCCAAGCCTGTGCCTTTCAAGAAGCAGGTGACTCCCTGTGCCTACCTCCCACCCTGACCATTTTCCTTTGATTGGAGGTGCAGGACCTACTGGCAGCTAGAAGCTTGACCTTACTGAAAGACAAATGCGCAGATGATTGCCTTTGGTACTCGCAGTCCTGATGTTCATTACGGCTTGATGCTGTGACACAGGACCCTTGGTGCTGGCAGAATTGACCGCCAGGACCTGTGGCAACAGCGTGTCTATTCCCATTTTTACACAAGGTCATGGGGAAACGTAGTGAAATAGTTTGTAGGAAACTTGGTTTCTGAGTGTCCTGCTTTTGACTGGCTCCTGTTGGCTAAATCAGATGGATGTGTTGGCTTTTGGTGTCATTTCTTTTAAAAATAAAATATTTTCTTTGTCCCAATTAGGAAGCTCTGGAAGTCCATAAACCCCAGTTCATTTCTCGCTCACAAGAAAGGCTGAAGAAGCTAGAACGCATGGTGCAACAGAGAAAAGCACAGCGGAAGGAGAACCTGGGGCAGAAGCATAGTGTCCTTCCAGTTCGCGCCAACAAGAAGCAGTTCACCATTCCCCATCCTCTTAGTGGTAGGCTGCAGGTGGGGAGGGAGGTCTGGAAAGGACCCGGGAAGAGGGTGCTTTGGGGTGAAATCCTTACCTAGGTTCCATTGTTCCCACTGACATAGGCAAAGCTAATCATGGGCATCATAATGCCTGTTCTGAGAGCTAGCTCATTTTTGAGAGATAACATATGGGTGCCAAACTTAGCAGAAATAACTTGGGTCACCAATTTACCATTATAGCTGGGAAAGGAGCCACAGTGCTATAGCAGCCAGGGTAGCAAGTTCAAATTCTTGGCTCCTGACTGATGTTTGCGAGAGATCCCCTTTGCCCTTTAGAGATTGCAAAACAGATCTCAGGGTGAGAGGTTGACTCCAGCTTGTCTACATCAACATTTGTCATCCTGAAACCCTTTCCTGCTGTGAGCTCAAGAAAAGGATGGCCAGCTTGCTGAGAACTGTGAGGCCAGGGTCAAACTGACCCTGGGAGGGAGGGCACTTACTCACTCATGGGAGAAAGATTATCAGGAGCCTTCTCTGGGCCAGGCACCCTGTGGAGGACTGGCGATGCCCCAATGAGCACTATGGATCACACTCCTTTCTTCATGGAGCTTATAAATGGACCATGTAAGTAAGCAAAACTAACAAAGAACGATGAGAGCAGGGAAGCATAATATCACGCACATACTGCTGGCCTGCCAACCCAAATCTTAAAATCTGCAGGCATGGAGAAACCTCAGTATTATTCCTTTGGATAAAGGAATGAGATCTTTTTTCCTAGGAAAATGTTTTGTTCCCCAGAAGGCAAAATCATGAGTATAATTCTGAATAAAAGACCTCTGGGGAAATAACTATATTCAATAAAGTGCAGCTTAGCAAACATTACCAAGATCCCATAAGGGCAAACTGGAGGACAGGGGAAAGAGGTGGTGTAATAGAATTCCTGGTCCACGGGCAGGCAGCCTCCTTCTTACAACCGAGGTTGCTGTGGGTGAGCAGTCTGGAGACCCTGGCAAGGGTGGGCATGAATGTTTCCTTCTTGTGCAAAGGACTTCCCAAAATACCTGCTGCTGCTTCCTCATGACACTTTCCGGTATGCTAAAGAATGGAGACATCAAGATGCTCCCTTATTGGACAATGCGTATCTAGCCAGCATTCCAAGCCAGGTAGCAGATACAGGTTCAGTCTTGGTGTGTCCTGCAGGGACTAGTTAATTTCTGGGTGTACAAAGAAGGACTGGGTCCAGGTACAGACTTTTGAAGGTACCACGAGAACCATATGCTAGCTACAAATGGAAGTCTCCTTCAGCCCTAGTGCCTGCACTTACCCTGAGGATGGCTGGGTGTTGGGGTCATACATATGGGCCACTTAGCCTCAGCATTTCTGAAGTGACTGCCTGGTAAAAGTGCTTAGCCTGATGTCAACAAATACAAAATAATGCTGCTTTAGAGAACAAGCGTCTCATACACACCTAATGGAATCTAAGGTCCTTCATTCTCAGCCAGGAAGGCCAAGGCAGTGGGGAATTTGTGCAGGGTGGTGCTCTGTTGGTCAGCTTTTCATTGCTATGGCAGAGAGCTGAGATAAATCAAGATAAAGAGAGAAAAGATTTATTTTGGCTCACAGCTCAGAAGGGTTTCAGTCCTTGGTCATTGTGCTCTTTGCTTTTGGGCTTGTGGCAATACAGCACATCCTGGCAAAGGAGCACACAGTGGGGCAGAGTCACACATCTCGTGGAGACACCATAGTGCCTTAGGCCCCTTTACAACCAGAGCTCCAGTGGTCGATACCTCCTTCTAAGCCCTACTTCTTAAAGTTTCCACCATGTTCCAGTAGTTTTTAGCTGAGACCTAAGCCTGAACAATGGGCTTGTGTGGACATTACAGATAAAGCTTCAGTCCAGCAGGTGTCAATGCTTGGTCCCTCTTTCCCAGTTCAGGACCACCTGTCTGTGCCACACTGCTAGCCATGGCATCTCAAGTAGGAGAAATGATAAGGCTTTAGGAGGCTGAGTACCTTCCTAGGGTTAATGTGGGAAATCCTTACACACAGGTGGTTTAAAATAACAGAAATAATTGTGTTCTCTCAAAATTCTGTGGGTATGAAATCACAAGGTGTCTAGGGGGTTGGTTTCTTATGGAGGCTCTGGGGGAAATTATGTGACATGGGTCTTTCCCAGCCTTTGCGACTTCTGACAACCCTTGGTGTTCTGTGTCTTAGGAATGCCTCACTCTGGGCTCTCCCCCTGTTTTCACATGGCCTTTCTCCTATGTCTGCAGGTCTGTGTGTCCATACTTCCTCTTCTCTAGGTTAGGATCCTTCTTACCCAGTATGACCTTATGACCTATATGATTTTGAATGAATTTGCAGGGCCACATTGCCAAAAATAAGATCAAAATAAGTTGACATCAACAAGCATGGGAGAATAGGACTTGGTCAGATCTTTCAGAAGGACAAAATCCTACATACCATCTTTGATGGTTTGTCCCAAATAAATGTCTTTACAGGCTGACATTCCAGTAAATGAAAATGTTAGAATTGTACATAATAAATGGGGATCAGTCTATATCAATAGTGTTAAAATAACCAAGGTATCTTTTGATTCTCCAAATTCCAAAATAGTCCTGGAGACTGGAATGCTTGCAGGGGACTTGGTCAGCATGGATTTTACAGCCATCCCGACTGTCCTTGCAGTATTTATGTATCGACGAGAGCTTTACTTTTGTGTTTATTTGTCTTAGGTCAGTTAAATCAGACAACTTCTGAAACCAGAGCCTCGTGTGAGCTCAGGCAAGTGAGAGGGAGTGTTTAAGGCCCCATTAAACAAGTCTACAGTACACATCTTGTCTTCAGCCTGTCTGCTGGCAAGATGATAAAAGCAAAATGCAGATGTTTTTCTTACATGCTAAATTAGTTAATAAATCATATGCGTGAACGAGCTCTGGCTACAGTGTCAAAGCGTCTGGTAAAAAGAAGACTCAGATTTGCTTTCCTACTGGGGTAGCTGCCTCTGATCTGGGCTTGCAGAGTAGGCTTGGCTGAAGGACAGGCCTGAGAGTTTCAGGTGGAAACCAGCGAGAATCAAGTTGCTGATTTGCTAGGACAGTTGGAGCAAGAACCAGGGCCAGCTGGTTCATGTTGGTTGATGAATTCTGAGTGGCCTCTGAGGTTCCAAGGCAGAATGAACTCTATGCGCGTGCGTGCATGCGTGCGTGTGTGCGTGCGTGTGTGTGTGCATGCCTACATATATATGTGTAAGCGTTAATTACGGTCAAGGGTTCCTATCTGGAGACAGGGGATAACAGACCAGAAAGTAGCATTAGAAATGTCTTGGCTACAGCCCCCACCTTCTGATGGTGGAGATCTCTCAACTGCATCAGGGTGAGTAGCAACCATGCAGGTCAATCATGGTATAAGGTAGGGGACAAGTCACTGGTGATGCGCAATTCAGCTGTGGGCATGGGCTGCAGGAGTGAGACACAGGGGAGAAAGATGAACTCAAGGGAAAGGAACCCAAGGAGAGCAACAGGCATTGTATTGGAAGGTTAGCCTGAGCAGGAAGCTATATAGTGTCATAGGAAGCTATGTTATGTCATAGGCATAAGATGTGACAAAGCCTGGCCCAGAGAAGAGCAATGGGTGCGGAAAGGTGATGGATTCAAGAGGTACTTGGGTGGACTCAGTGGTGGTGGTTTTGCAGAAGAGAGAAGCTGAGACAGGGAGCTGGGAGAAGATGGTAGGAGAGTTTTGCTTTCAGCACTCCAACCTGAGGGCATCTGCCTTCTTCTCAAGCCAGGGCTTTACCTGATCAGTTCACCAGTTACCTGGGAGCTATAAGCAAGGCTTCTTCCTCCCTCAGCTCTGAGGTGGACTGAGTCAGGTTCAAAGGCCAACCCTGAGGTGGAAAGTAGTACTTTAGAAGGATTAGCCATTGCTTCTCCCTTGCAAATAGAATCCACAGCAAGACAGCCCTGATGGCACGTGTGGAGCATCAGGTATACTGTGGGCCTCGGGATTTCAGCTCCTGCAGGTGGTACATGGGAGCAGTCAGTGGCATCCCTTGTCATCCTCTGCTGACAGATCTGTGGCTTCATCCCATGCTCACTGCAGTTCTGTAAGCCTGGCTCTGCCTACTTCCACCCAACTTCAGAGCCTCCATGGATTGCATCTCCCACCCTGAAGCCTAAATCCTTCCTCCCTGACTCTCCTGCTCCCCTTCTCTACTTAATTGGTCTTCTGTGCTGTCCCTCCAGGGATGTCCATGATCAAAGACCTGGTCCTTCCCTGGTATCATATCATCCTGTCTGACCTGCCAAGCCCCTCTCATGGCCAGCTGCTTCTTCTGTTCACTACGGAACATGACCTGGTGTCTGCTGGCTTCATTTCTCAGCTGAGTGCTTTGCTTATGATGGATCACTGACTGTTGCTACTAGTACCCAATGCTGCAGCCAATTCAGAAAGCCCCTCGCTACCCAAACACTGTCCATCTGGCCCGGCTGCTGTGGCTCATCTTGTATTCTAGCTGCCTGTCGGGGTCCTTATGTGTGGCTCTCCCAGGCTGTCTCCTCTATGTTTGAATGTGTAGGATGCCCAGCAACAACCTCCTCTTCCACAAATTCCTCCCAGATCCCCTACACACACGGCCACTTGGACACTAGTGACTCTTGGATGTGTGTAAATCATGTGCTGTCTTACCTTCCTCACTTTGGATTAAGTTATGTAGCTTCTCTAGGAAAATCTGCTGAGATTGGAAGCCTTGGCAGGCACACACCATGTCAAGTCACTCTGAGACTCCCTGCTGGACCTACCAAATCAGACTGACTTGATCTGAATTGCATTATTCACACTTCCCAGTGTGAGCCAAGTCAGAACCGTTCAAATCACGGGCCAGTAGAGGAACGGAATTCTCCAGAAGCCATTGCAAATTTTCTCTTGTAGCAAATCTGCCTCCACTGATGACTCTTGGCTAGAGCAAGTATTACCATTAATTTGCATTCTGAGAGCGTCTAGCTGGAGATGTGACCCAAC